CGACTATCCCAATCCTCTCACGTTTCACGTAAGGATCATCATTGATTAAGGGTGGGGGCAGCGGAGGAGGCAAGTCTAGCAAACCTCCTCGAAAAAGGAGAGGCGATTGTAGGTGGGGGCCCTTCTAGGGAGTGTCTCTCGTATCTGATCGAGGAGAACAGGTTGAGGAGCTCCCTTTGTCCTTTGACACTCACCTTTAGCCGACTTTGTGCATATGCAAACAAGAATTGGTGTGCTAGGCCTTCGGGGCCTTCATGTTGGAAACCCATGACACGGTAGATTTCCTTCATCCTTTCAAGTTCTCTGTTGTTCACATCGCCATCGACCCCCTCGACGTTGGCCATGGCCGAAGGGGGAGAGATGGGAGTGGTCGGTGACTTGGGTGACTCCCTATCCGGCGCAGAGAGTAAAGGAAATGGGTTGATAGGGTATAGGTCAAGGGGCAAGATGGGAAGTGGTTCAAGGTTTGAGAGTGAGGATGGGATTGGAGGGTTAGCTGGGCCTGAGGAGGCGGAGGAGGGTCGAGAGTAGAAGTGGGGGGGGTTGAGGGTTAGGCGTGTCATCTCGGGGTGGAGCAGTGGGAAGAGGCAGACCAGAGGTTAGGAAACCCTAGAACGGGGTAGGGAATAAGGGGGATGGAAAATGGTAAGAAAGGAAAGGCATATATGAGGGGTAAAAGACAAGGCTAAAGGAGGTGGCAGTTCTAGTGTAAAGAGAGGAGGGGTGATAGGTCAGGAAGTAGTGGGATTGGGGGGGTGCAAGAGAAGGATACGGCCAAGGAAAGGAGGGTGGGTAAGTGAAGTGCAGGGTTCGAACCCGGCAAATGTGAACTAGGTGTTGGGTAAAGGAGAGATGAGGGGCAAGCAAAGAGGAGATCATGGCTGGGTCAGGGGGAGAGGGGTCCGTGGAATGCACTGCCACAATGTCGTAAGGGAACTACGGTCTGTCCATATCAAGAGAAGGGGAGGAGGGGGCTGGTCGCTTGAGGGGCTGAGTGGGTCCAACCATGGTGGTGAAGTACGTAGGAAGGAACATCAGTGAGAAGAAGGGTGGAGAGGACAGGGGATTACATGGGGGAGGAAGAGTCAAGGGTAAAGAAAGACAAGGTTCAAGGGGTAAAGGGGAGGAGGATGAGTTCAGGTTCGAGACGGTGGATTCCTGGTAAGAGTCCACTACAAGGGAAAGGGGTTGAAGGGTGGAAGTGAAGTTGCTGGCGGGTTGAGGAGGGTGCCGGGAGGAGGGGGAAAGGTGAGGCACCCGAAAGGTTACTGAGGGTGGGTTTGGAAAAGGAGGAAAGGGGAGTCGAGAGAGAGAGGGGCTCGAACAAAGCATTCGAAGGTTCATGATCTCAAGGCAAGGGATGAGGCCAGATGTCGCTACTGTGGTAAGTGGGGGAGGCTAAAGGCTCTTCGAGTGACGGCGAGGAGGGGGCGGTAGGTAGGGAAGGCGGCTGGTGATAGGACAAGGGCGGTGACGCGTTTGGTGGGCTAAGCGGTTGGGATGACTTAGGCGAGGGCGGGTTAAGTGGAGGCAACAGGTGTGAAGGAAGGGGCAGTGCAAAATGAGACGTGGCGGGCGAGCAGAGCGAGGGGCAGGAGGAAGCGAGAGTGGCAGGCGCATGTGTCGAGCGAGTGGTATGCTAGAGATATGAGCCAGACACATAGAGTCCCCAGGCTGAATGGACCAGCGCTCCAAGAGAGTCTGACCTAGAGGATGAGGATGGACTGGGACCACCAGAGTAGCCCGACGACTGAGATAGAGGAGAGGGTTCACGGTCCACAATGACCTCTTTGTCAGGTCAGTGAGTAGGGATGGCGATATGGCCTGGAGGTGACATGCGAGGGCCTACAGGACCCCCGCCTTCGAGGCATGTGCCTGGCAGATAGGGTACCCCTACCGACTGTTGTGCCAGCTCAATGACATCATCATTTTTCCCTGACTGGCGCAAATAACCGCCACATGGTCGTCAGGTGACTCGCAGGGGTAGTTTGGGAAGATTGGTTGTTAGCGCTCCCTGAGAGGCACGGAACTGTGGGGAGGCTGTTGACGGCGCCTCCTGGGGTGGCGGGATTTCCTCGAGACTGTGATCCAGGGCTAGGAAGAGGAGCCCTTGGGAGGAGGTGGGTCCGTTGAGTTGAAGAAGTTGGCTGAGGGTGGAGAGGCCACCGACCACAAGAGCGAGACCGGGAAGTAGAGATCTTCGACCTCTAGCCAGATGTAGGATGGAATGAGATTCGTGTCCAAGACCTCTACGAGGAGACAAATGGACTCGAGAGGAAGCTTTTTTATTGATTTCCAGTGGATAGAAATCAAGTTACCACAAGCTTCCGCCACTCCCCTAAAAGCGGACGGAGACCACGCTTGAAGTGGTATATGTTCCGCAGTGAACCAGATTCTCTGCTTCCTATAGGACCCTTCCTTAGGGGACCACGCAAGAAGGTTAAAGGTGGGCCCTTTGAAGGTAGACAAGAAAGGTTCCTGTAGAACATGGAGAGCATGTTCATACATATGACTATTTGTTGAGGCTAAGGTATGGAGGGTATTTGTTGAGGCTAAGGTACATTTCGACAAGCCTATACCACTCTCTCAAAACACCCCCCCCCTCTCTCTCT